TCCGATCTGATTTAGGAAGACAGCAAACATATTCCTTCAGCTTGTATGAAATGCAGCAACATTTAATAATGAAAGTCAAAAATAGCACTGCTAGTTATGTGCAATTGGCAAAAGAAATTACGTTAGGAAGAGAAGAGAGAAGACTACAAAGGTGTATTCTAGAGAATGAGTCATCAGCTGGTGCTGAGTTTTTAAGTTTCAGATGATCTAAACCATAGTTTAAAGGTCAATTCAAACTGCTGCTGCTAAAGGAAGTGATCTCACTTTGCCCAACCCTTGATCATGGGTCTTCCTTCAGCTGCATGATGAGTCGGACTGGGGAATTTATGTAGTCTATAACTAATCTCTTTTTTTTTTTTTTCGAGGGAAAAGGAGAGAAAGGGAGGGAGTTTAAATCTATTTCAGCTCTAAATGAGTAAAGCCAATGATCTGCCTGAAGATAGTTCTCAGAAGTACAGTCCCAGTAGACAAGAGCTGAGGAAAATGGACTCTTTAGTGTCAGAATTATTGTATTATTGTTGCTTAAGCTATATTCGCTCTATATGTGTAGAGGATTTGGCACTTGACATGGTAGAAAATGAATGCAGTTGTATTAAGAAAATATAGATTGTTTCTTAAAAAAAAACAAAAACAACCCTGTACCCATACCTGTTCTACAATTCTGTTTGATTTTCTTGAGAGGCTCCTACAAAAATGATGTAATGAAAAGTTTCACACTTTTTGCATGCTATAGAATAAACCATTGACACTTAGTGCTGCCAGAGGTCACTTAGGCAGGACTAGACAGGTACAATGAGTTAGAATTAAATAATTGATCATCCAAATGAACTGATACAGGACTATATTGCACTTTTGTTTATAGTGACTCTCCACCTCTTGTACTGAAAGGATCATTGGAAGTGTAAGAAAATTCTTTGTTATTTTCATTTCTCCTTAAGAGAAAGTGTAGTTGTTTCTAGCTCCATGAGATACACTTCAAGCGAGGAAGTGTTTTGTAGTTCATTGTTATATGCTTTGCTGCACTAAAAACTCAGTGCTTTTCCTCCCACTATTCCAGCAGCTTTGTGTTTATTAACCTTGTTTTGCTTATTGCTATGAAAAAAAAATATTACAATGATTTTTAGCATGGATTTTTTCCCCCCACCCCAAAAATAGGAGACATCTATCAAATCTGTGAGTTCTAAAATCAATGGTAAGGCTTTCTGGAAAGTGTGTTTTTGTTTTTTATAGACCTTTATAGTTCATGCTACCTCTTACTAACTATCTTGACTTACTTTGTGAAATCTCTAACATTTTCTTTAATGCAACAAAGTTACCTTGCAGTCTTCTTGGAAGAGTCTTTCGCTTTCTGTACAAATTGATTTCAAAGATGCTTGTTTCTATATCAAAGAGACAAAATACAATTGGCAAATCCTGTGTACTTCATCAGTGGTTACCTGGAAACTGTTTTTTTGGGAACTGAAATGAGGGCTGATCTGATTAGAAGCAAAAAAACTGTTTTCTGTGAATGAAAAATGCTTTTTCTCTTTGAATACCTGTGGCAGAGGGGTAAGAGAATGGGGCACAGTGACTATTTCAAAACCTCAACTGTCATTTTTGTGTATGCAGAAAAGCATTTTACCTCTGACTTGTTTTGCCGTGTGGGTGATTATGGTGAAGAGCCTGGGAGTCTACAGGAGCATGTTGGGAATGTGCACTCCTTACCTACTAGACAAGGTTTGTTTTCTCTGAAGATTTTAGTATTAAGCTGTTTTTATTTATAGCTGCTTTAAATCTAACATGTAACTTAAGGGACCAAGTCAGTTCCTGGAGACCTTTTTTGCAAGGAACCACTAAAGAGGAAATGAGAAAAGGCTCTGGAAGCAGGAAAACTTCCCTGTCTCTTTATCTAAGGGTGGACATCATGAAGACCTGTATCTGATCTTCCAAGGCAAACCCAGAATGACTGTTCAAATAAGCAGAAAATAGATCTGAGGACATAAAGAGGCAAATGTTCTGTTCCTAGCACCTTTATCTACTAGAAAGAACATAATATATTAAAATTATTGTTTGCACATCTTCCAGAAGCCTACTGGAGTAAGTGAAATTACTGAGATTACCATATAAGAGAGTTTTCAGATGTTGGTGTTTTGAATACATTAAATAGTGAATGATTTGTACAGAAGAAAGCAAAAGTTTTAGGGTGGTCAGAAGGCAAAATGTTTCCTTCACTAAAGAAAAAAAATATGTTTGGATCATTTCTGAGCTGCAAAACAAGTGCTGGCAGATGTTTTGCATCCGTCTTTGTGAATCTGCATCAGATTGGACAGCTGCAAAGTGCAGCCACACAGCATCAGCTCTGTTCAGCTTTAGAGATCTATCATTGCCATATTTTGAAAGTTTGTCTGAGACCTTTTGTAAATGATTCAGAATCAAAAGAAGATTCCGTAATGGGTCCTTCAGTATTAACATCACAGATCCTTCTTAAGAGTACAGTTGATTTCTGTGCTCATTTCCAATTGAAAAATGCATTTGACCATCTCGGGTAGAATCTGTCCTGGTACCATAGATATCTGTTCCATGAAACCCATATGAACAGAAACCTTACTTTTGTCACAGAAGTACATACCAAAAATTATTGGAAGCATGGCCTGAATAGATCCTTTGAACAGGACAGTGCTATCTCGTACAGAAGAGTTATGCTTTTCATGTAACAGCATTTAAAATAAAAGAAGTGCTGTACTGTAGCTGAACTCTTTGCTGCATCCACCAGTACTAGTTTCTCATCATGAATACCCATGCTGTCTTTTTCATAGATGACAAAGCAGGTAATGTTATACAAGGCATCTCTGAAGTGAACCTGAACCTGGAGCTGCCTGCAGAGTCCATCAATGCAAAAAATGAATCCAAGGTTAGAGACAAATCTCATCCTTTTTGACTAACCAAGAGTGTGAAATGTTCATCCCTTTAATGACATTTATCATGCAAGGACTTGTGAGATGTTTGTACTTCTCATTTGTTTTTTTGAGTGGTCGGATCAATTGGGACATTTCAGAGTGTATTTTAATCTTGCAGTCCAGAAACTTACCAATATTGTAAGACAGGGAGGGGGTGAAATGGGCATTACACCTATCATATTATTCTCATGTCAGTGCATCTGCTTATCTTCCTGAAGCAGGCAAAGCACTTGGCGTTATCTTAAGTTGCATGTTTTGGCGATGGCAGCAGAATGTGCAGGTGGGCACAATAGCTTAGCAGTTTTTGCTCTCTGTATCTGGCTTAAAAAAAAACTTAAGTATAACCTTATCTAAAATAATATATTTTTTTAAAAGTTAAGCGGTAGCATCAAAAGAGCTTGTAAGGAAGATGAAAGAGGGCAAGCGTGTTCAGTAAGATATTGCAGACATGTGAATATCATAATAATCCAGAGGTCTAGGTTCAGAAGAAGCTCCCTTTTGTGTGGTTGCTTCTTTCAAGCCTAGTCTGCACTTTTTTACTGATGTCTAGGCTGGTGTGGCAAAAGTATTGTTTGCTGCTACTGAAGGAACTTGGAAAGTTTTGGTTCCACTAAAATGCACAAATTCCTTGGTCGCTCTTTGTAATAACAAGCAAGGAACTTGAGTGTCTGGTATCTGAATGGACTTGATGTGTTAAACCTAAGATTGGATATGAAAATATGGTACTTGAAGTTTGGGTGACTTCCCAGATTTTAAAACATCTTTACCAAAGCATGGGAGGGACCTTTAGGTCTTAACAAACTTTTGCTCTGCATTTGATAGTATGGTGACATAGTATACTTGAAGCTTTACTTGTGTCTTTTCATGCAAGGAGATCCCACTGAGTTACAGCTTTTCAAAAGTAACCCCAATTTTAGGTCCTTCTAATCTTGAATACCTGTTTTAAGACATGTTGAGGCACTATGAGTGCTGGAAATCAGACATTTATCACTTCTTGAAACTATAAGCCTTTTTCCTCTTCCATTTCTACAGAAGTTGACAAGCTACAAAATGGACGGACCAAAGAGAGGATTTTGTCTTGTTATTAATAATGTTAAATTTGATGGGGATCTTGGGGAGAGAAGGGGTTCTTGCAAAGACGCAGGTAAGTTTCTACGGAAAGATTTTTTTTAGTTAGTCTATTTTCCTTTCATGAGTTCATTCTCTCCTTGCCTTATTGTCCATATTTTAGTTAATATTCTTAAATAGTCAAGTTTTTGTTCTTTGTTAAATGATATCACTTGTATATCCTAGAAGGGGAAGGACTAAAAGGCTTCAACTTGCCATGCAGTAGGATCATTTTTGAATCGTTTTAAGAATCTCTTTATTTATGCAGTGTATATCTATAGCTATAATAAATAAAACTACATGATGTAATCCAGAATTTCCTGTGCAATTGCCAATTGCAATTCTGTGTATACTTTTTCATTCGTTAGTTTTGTTCTTTCTGTTTTGCTTATGAAACCCTGTAAGAATCATAACTGCAACTGGAAAATAATGATCTCAGGAAGGATTATGATACTGATGGATCTGCAGAGGCACAAGCGTGGGAGGTTCTTTTACACTTCAGACTTGCTTACATGGTAACTTCATAAATTTTTTTTTTCACTGCTCAATTTCTCTTTTTATCTTTCTTTATAGAGGAGCTGGAGCGGGTATTCACATGGCTTGGTCTAGAGGTGAAGATTTACAAAGATCGAACATCTAAGGAAATTAAAGATCTCATGGAGACTTGGCAGGATTCAAAAAAACAGATAAACAGGGACTGTTTTATCTGCTGTATTCTATCTCATGGAGATTCGGGAGCAATCTATGGGAAAGATGGGGAGCTTATATCAATCCGCACAATCATGTCCTACTTCACTGCCAAACAATGTCCAGCGCTTGCTGAAAAACCCAAACTCTTCTTTATTCAGGCATGCCAAGGCAAAAAGATACAGTGTCCTGTCTCTGTTGAAGCTGATGCACAGGTTCCTGAATTGCCTTCTGTGCAACAGAGAATTTCTCCTTCTGACAGTATTCCTGAAGAAGCTGATTTCCTCCTGGGTATGGCCACAATTGATGGTTATGCCTCATTCAGGCATGTTGACCAGGGCACTTGGTATATTCAGGCTCTATGCAGCAAGCTACAGCTGTTGGTACCCAGGTAACTTGACTAGTTTATTTAGCTGATCATTGAAGAAATGGGAAGAATTTCCTTTCCCTCCACTTTTTTTTTAATTCAAAGTCAAATTCAAATAAGAAAGTTAGTGCATGCTTTGAGTTGGACAAACTTAGTTAAACAAATGATTTGCTTGCCTGACTCTTGTAAATTTATGTTAACACTGCTAGCACCATTTAGGGATAGTCTGGAGAACGTAAAGTTTAATTTAAAAACTCTAAATCTCTAAATCTCCCCTCTGTCTATTAGACCCATCTGTTTCTTGAGTGAGTTTAGGTAAAAAAAACACTTCCTATCACTTTCCCTGCTGATGGAATCAAGCAATGCAAAGTAAGAAAAGACCTCTCATTTTTAATATGATCTAAATAAGAACATAAGAGAATTTCTGAGCAAAGTGCTTGTTTTCTTTCTTTCGTTTTTTAAATGTCTAGGCTGTATCTCCTAAACGTTGTAGGTGTTATGGAGAAGCAGTGCCACCTGCTTATTAATAAATCGTTTTTCTGTTTGCTCGCTTTCTGTCTGCAGGGGTGAAGATATTTTGTCCATTCTTACAGAAGTTAATGAAGATGTGAGCAGGCGTGCTGACAGCTTGGGGAGAAAGAAGCAGATGCCCCAACCAGCTTACACTTTAAGAAAAAAATTTATATTCCCAGTGCCTAGAGATCCTCCTCCCTCACAGCAATATTGAGGCTTCCTGAATACCTTCATGAGCACATTTCATTTAACCAGCTAATGTGGAGAACTGCATTTAAGTCAATTACTCAGACTCCTGAGGCCATTGTGCCTTGAGGCAACAACTTAGAATTTTTGATGATGAAAATGTGAAGCCTAAGGAGGCATAGTTAACACCATCTGTGTGCCAGCTGTTCAAATAGTATTTTTCAAATGATTAGGATTGGGATGGCTACGTGCAGAAGTGTGCTTCTTTTGTGTTAAATGTTCTTTGTACTTGCGCAGGCTATAGGTATGTAAGTATTTTCGTGCTAGCCTAAGGATTGCATGTAGCCTTCTGTATCTAAACCAGAATGTTAATATTCTGGTTTAACCTCATCCTGTTGTATTTTGCATGCTAAAAATCTTGAATCCTGCCTCTGAAACACTACCTCTATGGAAGAATCTTGCAGGCTAAAAGACAAAAGTAGGGAAGAAAGCTTAAGTATTAAGTGAAGAAAGATTTCTTCCATCTGTAACTTAACTTATTTTTAATTGTATGAGGAATCAGCTGACTACTGAAATTACTACTTATTTCCACAGTGCTCACTGATGTCTTCTGTCAGCTTTCATGTACCTCATTTGTAATTAGATTCTTTCCAAAATTGGAAAAAAAATGCACTGCAAGAGTGCAGTGTAATATTCCTTCTGTGAAACCGCTCTGCTGGTTATCATTTCCTCATCACTTTTGGGAAGAAAAGGTAGAAGGGTTTTTCGCTGTGAAACACAGTACTCAGTGTATCTGCTTAGATTATCAGATTGATTACTTTAGTAAGCATTAAATGTCATGATAAATCAATTCTTGTTTTAAGGTGTAAAATAAGGGAGAAAATAATATGGGAGAAAAGGGTCCTTGTTGATCAAGGTTCTGATAAATTCATGTTTGAGTTCAACTGAAATTATGCCATGTTTTGTTATGAATATTTGCCTATACTGTGTGTGTCTGTGTCCTTCATGTAGCATTAATTAATTCAGTAACAACTGAATTAAATTTATACTTCTTTTATAAAGTCTGGGATATAAAAATGATGCACTGGGCTAAGTTTTATCCTTGTTTGCTGTCCCCTGTCAGTGTTGGGCTGGGTGAATCAGTGGGATTTTAAATGAAAAAAGGAGTTTAAACAAAAGTGAAAGTTTGGTTATTCAGCAGAACACAGGCTGTTATCTGTGCTTGCTAGTCCTAAAACAGCTCCAAACTCAAGGTTAGGATTTGAGAGAGAATAACGTCTAATGCTGGTGAAAACAATTCTTAGTTTTCACTATCCAAGATCTTTAGGAGGAAGCTTTTGCATCATCTGAAGCATCAAATTGGAACTAATCTGCCAAAGCAGTAGCAGTCACTTTTGACCATGGTAAATTGACAGTTGTGTGACCCTCTTGAATCTTCTGAGTTAAGCACGGCCGCCATATCTGAAATCACATTTGTGCCACAAGTAGAAATTCTGTTGGGTTTGTTAGCAGAACACATTCCATATTGGAATTGTCAATGCAGATACATATAGGTAACAGTTATAGTTTGAGCGCGGAGTAAACACAGGCAAGAATTTTGGCGCTCTTTCTGGGGGTGGGGGGGATGCTGCCTTCATTTCTAAGTAAGTGCCTGGGTGGTCTCCAGTTAAATGGTAAAGATCGATAATAGCAGGAGAGTCTGCACTGATTTCTGCCATGAGTTCCTTAGGAGAGGGGCCGTGCCCTGGAACAGTGAGATCTCACTCATTTCTAAACGCCCTGCTCAAACAAAGGTTGCACTGCTGTGATTTATACTCTTCTATGTGAATATTTTTCTTGAGTCATCTCGAGCTTTGTTTTCCTTAACACTTGTGTGCTCTGTGGTGCTGTGCGTCAGGGCATTGGCTGTGCTGGAAGTGGCCGTGTGACCTCCTGTGGTGTATGGAAGGATAGCAGTCGGTCGTGAGGGAACGCGGGTGGGTTTTACCCAGCTTGAATATTTATCGCTGCTTGCTGCACTCCTTACAAGTAACTAGTAATAACGAGCTCTGGCAGAAAGAAATCAGCCTACAGTCAAAAAAATTACGGTTGGTTTCTGTCAAGTTTTACTGGTGGCATACAGAGGCACATGTGCATATGTATGTGCTCTAGCTGCACTGCTAAGGAAGGATTAGCACTTGTACAACTCCTGTTTAGACAGAGTTAAGTGCAAACAGCTAAAAAGTGTCTTCCTGTTATGGAGGTTTTCTCTAGGGTAGACTGTGATCTTAAGGCAGGATTTGCATTGTTCCCAAGGTGTCTGATGCCCCTCCTGCCTGCCAATATTTTTTGTGCATCCTGACTGAAACACAGTCACGCCGGTGGCTGAATAGTAACCAGCGTCAGGATTTTTCCCTTTTCAGAGCACACCCTTTCTGCATGAGAACTATTCCCAGGCTGCTCACAAGGAATTGAGTGGGTGACTGAGACGGTTCTAGGGGAAGCCAGAGGAAGCCAGAACAAAACCCGGGTGAAGGAGAATAAGAACTGGAGATACCCAAATTAACAAACAGGAACATTTCAGAGAAGGCCAAAAGAGGAAGAAAGGAGAAGGTTAACAGAGAAGAGGAAGAACTGGGCTGGGAGGGCTGGTCTTTGGAGCTGTGTGTGTTGAGGGAAGCCGGCATCCTTAAAGGGTCTTCCCGAGGTCCTTGTCTGTAAGTAGTTTTCAGACCGTACTGAAACACCCACTTGCGTGTTTCCTCTTCCAGGTTGCCACTGGAATCTTGATTTTGGTTGAGACACAGAGGAACTGGTACAGGGAGAGAGATGCTGAGGTATGGGCTGACAAGAAGAATTGTTCTGTTTCTGGAGATTAGATAGGGGTGCTTGCAGTGTCTCTCTGCGCTGTTTGTTGCCTTTGGATAACAGGACTCGTATCGGTGAGCTAAAGTCAAATGTCGCTTCTGAAGTGTTACTATGAAGAGGGAGCGTGTGTCTTTTGGGAGGCATTTGCAAGCTTTATAGTATATGCCTCATTGTATCAGAGGGTGTGTTATAATTTTGAGCTTAAAAACGTAGGTTGTGATCAGTGAATGATTTCTTCTATTGCAAGTTTTCAGTAAGATTGCCATTCTCCTAACTGTCTCTTCATAATACTGATTTCATGAGCTTCAGACACATAGAGGTCTCCTAGGTATACTGATGATTTCATATGTTTCCTGCTGCAAGAAGAGTGTCAGTGACAAGGAGACCGTACTGGGTATCATCCCATGGAATGCAGAGTTCTGTGCTTCAAAGTGGGTAAAAACATCAACTGTTAAATATTGCTTAAATTCTTTTGTAAAAAGGGAAGTATATGAAGTAAATAATTACAACGCAAGGTTTAAACTCTCAGTTCCTTATATGTATGGCTACTGCTACTGATAATTCACTTTTTTCCATTTAGGAAAAAGTCTTCCATTAAAATGGCATGTTAGAAATGGGTTGGGCGAGTTGGAGCACGATTTCAGAGAAAGGAGGAGGTGGAAGAGCTCGTGAAATCATGGGACAGTGGGTTGTTTAGCCCTTTTTATCCTAAGTGCGGTATTAATTCATTTCCTGAAACTGGAGCAACAACTTGCAGGGAACTCTGACCTTACGATCTCCACTTATTGCTTGGCATATATATTTTTGAAGTCATGTGACAGGCAGGCAGGCGGGGCAGGAAAACCCAGAACTTTTCCTGAACTTTAGAGCTCCAGGTTGTGCATTCCTTCACAGGAACTTCAGCAGTCCTTCAGCTTGTCTTTCCTTGTAAGTAAACGAAAATGAATTATTTTTACTGTGGTATTGTTTACGGCTTTTATATTTTCACTGACTGAATCTTTATTTGAGTGAAGATGAAGTAGTTAAATTTTGTTTTAGTATACTCCCTATATTAACAGAGAGGCTTAAATACAGTGTGTTCATGGCACATCTGTTTTATTAACTTTGTGTTTTTGAAAATGAGGGCTTTTGAGAAGTAAAGAAAATTTCTCATACTAGCAAGTTTTACTATCATGGGTACATGCTTTTTATCCTTAGTTGAAGTCATGGTATATGTGGGAAAGATGGTAACTTCATAATCAGCTACAAAGAAAGTATGCTTTGGCTGGATATAAAAACATACATCCAGATAACTGAGATCGTTGAATTATGAGGCTAAGTGGATATGTTTTGTTACGGTATTCAGTTTTGTGTTATTCTCAGCTGAACCATACAGATGATTATCAGTTGAAAGTTAATTTTTAGTGGATTTACAGGAAGCAATATTGGGGCAGAACTTGAGTCATAGCTGCTGCATCACAACGGCGCTTTTGCTGTTTGGATTTTTTCTGGCTAGAGCAGGGTTTAGGTTTCTGTTCACTCTTGCTTGCTAAGAGCGCTGACCAGAAGCAAGTCCTCCAAGGGACTCGCGTGTTTCTGCTGCCATGTGTTTCTGGGACGGGGTGCCTTCAGCTGTCTGGAGTATTTCCTGTAATACTGTTTTATTCAGCAATCTGCTGGGCTGCTTTGGAGTTATTATCTCTAGTATTAATACACTTGCAACATCAATAACAGTAAAACAGATCATCTAATATTCTGCTAATGTAGGATTAGGAAGTTTTACTGCCATGACTTCATTTGTTGTTAACTTTTCAGACCTACAGTGAATTAAGTGAGACAGAAGGCCTACACCAACTACATCCCTATGCAGTTTCATTTCAGGGATTCCTGGGCACCTTTGCTTTGAGGCAGAAGGATCAAAACACCAACTGGGTCTCCTAAAGTGGAGGTAGGCTAAGTGTTGGGGGGAGTTAACATGGGAGGCTTGCACTTCATGTTTTCAAACTGAGTTCATATGCCAAAATTAAGATTTAAAGTGCTGATGGAGGGTGTGGTGAAAAGCGGTGTATATGATGCTCAGTGAAAAGGAAGTGGCATGAGAAGAATGCTGGCATTTTTTTTAAAGAGTTGGCACAATCTGTGTCTGGCAACTGGTTTGTACTTGATGCAACAAACCAAAAGAAAAAGAGGTGCTTTGGTTACATTGACTTGTGTCAGAAGCATGGCCTGTGGAAAGCAGAAGCCATGTAGTTTAGAAAAGGCTTACTAATGCAGGTCCTTATGTTTGATATGCAAAACCTGGGCGTCTTTATACAGCCAGTATAAAACATTGCAGACTATAGGTGTCTCCTGCTTGCAAATTGGATCAAAATTCAAAAAATGGTGCTAGGGAAGAGAGGCCAGGTAGTTGGAGCCACCTGCAGCCTGCCAGGACTGTACACCCTGTGCCTCTTGACACCCTGCTGTCTGCACACACCATAGAAAGCAAGAAGAATCTGAGACTTCCTCTGTCGCTTACTTTCTTTACACTTGTGTGAAGACTTTCTTGTAGTCACCATGAGTCTGATAAACTGAAGGAACTAAGCATCAAAACTATCATAGCAGAATATTTTCTTTATCTATTGAAGTATTTTTGATTGCATATATTTATTTTGGGCAATTCAACATGATATCATGTAGTATAAAATCATACTTCTTCCCTAGCGAATGACAAGTTGCATCAACTTCTGTCTGTTTAGATCTAAGTCCTGATGTAAAATGAGTACATATATCCACAAGCTCCTCTTTGACATTTCCGAGTCACTGGGCACGGATGACCTGGCGGCTCTCAAGTTCCTCAGCCTGGAGCACATCCCCTTGAAGAAGCAGGAAGCCATTCAGGACCCCAAGGCCTTCTTCCAAGCGCTGCAGGAGAAAGCCCTGGTCAGCGACGGTGATCAGGCCTTCCTGAAGGAGCTGCTCTACCGGATCAATCGCGTGGACATCCTGGTTTCCCACCTGGGCTCCAGCCGGGAGGAGATGGAGAGGGAGCTTCGGATCCCAGGCAGGGCGAAGGTGTCTCCGTTCAGGTAAGCACAGCAGCAGTTAAGCATTTGCATGGAAAAGGTATAAGCAGAACCATTCTGCTGTGTGCTGTCCTTCCTGCTTTCATCTCTGGCCTCTGCTGTCATCTTAGGTGTATCCCAGTATAACTGTGTTACTGCACAACTATCTACCATTGTGAGTTTTAAGACCAGATTCTACATTTCTTCAGTTCAAGCTGTGCTGTTTCTGAGGCAGATACAGTTTCCTTGGTTTCCTTGTTTTGGGGGAAAGTTTTCCCCTCTTCCCCCGAGTTTATTAGTATTAGAAAGGTTGTCTGTATTTGGCTTACATCACAGCTGGAACCGCAGAGTGAAGCTCAGTTTTTCCTTAAAGTTTCTGCAAAACTGTGATGATGTGAGCCAGACTGAATCGTATTTTAGGAAGAATACTTTGAAATACAGTGCCTCCACTGTTACTTTTAACTACACTTGCTGCTGATGCTCTTCTTGGATGACCTCAGTATATTAATGGGTGCTCTACATAATGATTGGAGCTGTTATAAGATGGATTTTAGATACTTGTGGGTGTTTGGGAGGGGGAGTTGAGAAGGGCTTGTCTCATATCCTTTAGTTAATTGTCATAACTTTCTTAAAAAGTCTTTATCTGTATTTTTTCTTGCCAGACAACTGCTATATGAGATTGCAGAAGACTTAACTCCA